GGGTTCTAGCCATCCCTATATATAGCTAGAGCGTCTGTAGCTATATACAGACGCTCTAATTATAGCTCCGAGCTATAGGTTTTTCACCTTCATATCCCAGCTCATCACTGCCATGTTTGCAGTCACACTATATAGTCTGCTCTGTACTACATTATGGTTCGATTTCCCTCAACTGGCCACATGTTGTCGACTTTATAGCTAGAGACGTCGTCGTGACACATGCCAGAAGATAGCTACTTTCTTCTTCACTCCTGGGCCATGGTTGGTGTTGATAATGATGATAGAGAGTGTGTGTAGCTAACAGCTCCCTAGCTCATTGTGTGTGTTATATGCATGCAGGCAAAGAATTGTCGAGAAAAACAATTATTGTACATTTTATACAGTTTTCTGTATTGTAAAGTATAACAATAATAAAGTATAAAGTATAATATTGTTAAAGCACATTTCATTCTTTCAGTCTTTAATCTCGCTGTAAATCTCTTCTTCCTCAGTCGCTCCCTCACCATCACCTGGTTCAGGTGCTGCTACGTGATACATTGGGTTGCAAATGCCAGGTCCCTCCACAGTGGTCTCCATCAACTCGTCCGGATCCTCATACACATTTTCATCCTCGACTACAGGCAATTCGTACTCGACCTCCTTTCCCGGCTTTTCAACTTCACTGGAATGTTCCTTCGAACGGCAATCATGATTTTCTCCAGGAGTGATGTAGGAATAGCGATCGCATTCTCCATTGGCCTTGGCAGCAACAGAAAGTCTGGCTGCCGTAACAACGGATGACTTTGTCCTATGCAGGAAAAAGAACTGAAGTTCGCATTATTAGGTAATATTATGCCTCACTTTTGTCTGCGGCAGGCCACAACAGTTCCAGTAGCCACAGCCAGTATAACAACTATAAAAACTACACCTCCCACTGGAGCAGCAGTCCACATGGGAAAACTGTTCGGTAATGCATCTTCTTTATTTTCTGGCTCAGCTTTCTCATTACTGTTCTTCATAACGTGTAGTTCTTCACCTTTAGCTGTCACAGTTGGTTCAGTTGATATCCACTTTGTAAGGTCTGCCAGAAGATCGGTGCTTTCACTGGTGTTAGTGCTCACTATCCTGCCCTGAAATACGAGGCTCTGGTTATTACACTTCAGTTGTCTATCTGCAATGTAGTCACTGGGGAATTCGCAGCGGCAGACAAGTTCTATTCCTGCACTTATGTCTCTAGCTAAGTCCTCTACTATTTCATCCAGCCCCTTTGCCTGCAAAGAAATGATATGTTCAGTTAGCTACAAACACAAGTTCACAGCTTACAATCCATTTGGAGCAGTTTTGCCTCTCTAGGGTGACGGTGAAAATAGTGTTGACGTACCCTGTATCATTCTTGAAAACATGGTTAGATAACATGTACAGTTGCACTTACATGGAACGAGAGTGTATGAGAAAGGTCCAACCCCGGGACTGGTCCTCCCAGCTACCCACACACAGTACTGGAGTCCCGGGTCTAAACCAGTCACTCCAAACATCTCCTGGTCCACAGACACAGTGTCATTGGTGGTGGAGTCACTAGGGGGACACTGGCCAGATCTCACACTCTGGTAGCCAATCTCATAGGACACCAGCCACCCTCTCAGGTCCTCCCAGCTCATCTCACCCCACTCCACTCTACCAGTGGTGGCTGAGCTACGAGTGCTTGATATGTATAAGGGAGAGCTCTTGGGAACTAGAGGAACAAGCAATGATAAAAGATGCTCCAGGACTCAATGCTGCTCACCTCCCTCCTTGGCATACTCTATCACTTCAACTGAGTCTCCAGCTCCCACACTAGTAGAGGCCATCACTTCGACACTGTATCTAACATAGGGGCCTGTGTGCATGTACATTTGATGTATGCAGAGATGGAGAAAAAAATGTTAAACAATGAGTTGGATGAAAACCGTATAGTTATTATCATTATAGATGTGTATGTTTTTCTGCCTACAAAATTGTGTTTTTGAACGTACGGATTCCACTTGTAGCATTCAGCTCTGTAACATTAGCAGCGACCACAGTCCAACTTCGTTCGCTGGAATTCATCTCATTGGTGACCACAACTTGATATCCAGTCAGTACTCCATTGGGAGACAGTGGAGGGTCCCAAGAGATGTGGAAGGTCTCATCATTCAATACAAGGACCTCCAGATTATCTACTGCACCTGGAACTGTAAGAAGTATAATTATATTCACAGCTCTAGGACCTGAAGTGGTTGTGTAAACTGTTTACACAGGCACCACTTTTCTTATGGCATACTTTTCTTATGGGACATACAGCTAACCTGTAACGGGATAGCGCTGTAAAAATTATGACAATTGTCGAAAAGTCAAAATAGACTTTATCTGTACCTGACTCATCAGTGGTAACACTTTGAGACTCAGTCAGAGGCCCTTCTCCGACCTTAGTACTGGCAGACAGTCGTACATTGAGCAGCTGATACGGAGAAAGCCAACCAAACATGAAGGAGTTTTGGTTGGCAGCACTGATATTGAATGTAATATTATTGTCGATGTAGATGGTGTAAAAGAGGATGATGCCATTTGGAATGTGTGGAGGACTCCATTGGATTAGTATAGCCGTGGAATTCAAGGAATTCACCATTACATCTTGCGGTTCATCTGCGGGGGCTGAAGAATATTATAAACTCACAACTATTAACCATGTGTGTAAAAATGCAACACACTATCCCCTCCATATTATTAAAACGAAGTTTTAAAAACTCACTTGACTCGTCAGTAGTGGATGAGTGGGGAATGCCTGGACTGCTTTCCCCAGCGGAAGTATTAGCCGTCATGAAGCAGGTATAGTTGGTGTATGGCGAGAAATCCTACTATGACCTTCACGTGAGGCACACCCACTGGGAACACAGCTTGTAGATAATAGGAGGTATCCTGTTCCAAGTCTCCACAGGGACATGATGTTGAGTTGACACTGATGGAAGAGTCACAGTCACACAGTGGCTGTTGGGTCGACTCCCTGCAGTACACGCTGTACGCTAGCAGCTCTCCATTTGGTTCCTCCGGAGGCCTCCACTGCACTGTTAACTGAGTAGGACTTCCTTGTATGGCTTCCAACATCGTCATGCTGACAGGGCTTGGAACTGAAATGTTAGACTATTATGAAGTATAGGGTAAGTAAAACTTATTTTGTCTCACCATCTTCAGGCGTAAGGACACGTATTCTTGCAGTGTATGGTCCTATGCCCACCATCGTAAAGGCTGCTACTTCAGCATAGTAAAGCGTAAATGGCTTCACTTCTTCAATGGTTATTGTAGCATTTTCAACTTCAAGATCTGTAAAATTGTTTGAGATGGATTCAATGAAACGTACTCTGAAACCAGAAATGACTCCATTTCTGTCTTCCTCAAGCGGATACCCCCATTTCAAAGTAACTGAACGAGGCGATAATTCATCAACTGAGAAATGTACAGGTGGTCCACTGGGAGCTGCATCAGTAAAAAACAATGTGATAATGCATTTGTTCTGCAGTTTATTATACCATCATACCTGCTTCTGGCAGTCTTACTTCAATCTGAGAAGAAAAAGGACCAGCACCAACCACTGTAACTGCAGCAACTTTAGCACGGTAAGTGAAATCGGGATGAAGATTTACAATGCTGTATGGCCCTGAGACAGCACTATAATCAGTATCTCTTCCGTTTCTAACATTTGTGAGACCAATGGTGTAGCCCTGAACAACACCGTTTCTCTCCGGCAGTGGTAGCTCACTCCAAGACAGTAAAATGGAGGTTGAATTAACAACGGCCATGGAAAAGTTTCCTGGGGCACTGCTAGGAACTGTGGTGTATACAAACATGGCGACCAGTTATCTTTTTTACATTTCTAGTGTCTTGTGCCAGACCTCTGGAAGAGTGTCTGGCCGGTAAGACTGAGAATGAAACTCACCTGACTCAATAGTTTGTTGAAGCAAACCAGAAGTAAATGGACCCACTCCAACTGTCTCTGCAGCAATGGATATGACGTAGTTGTAGTACGGATGCAAAGAGGTCAGAGTGTAGCGTTGACTCGTACTGCTGTACTCAAACATAGTCTGTGTTTCTTGCTCAGTAACTCTGAGATGATAGCGGACAATATCTCCGTTTCGATCAGTAAAGGGCGGAGGCTCCCAGACTAGTGAAATGGTGGACGAGTCAAAGTTTGAAACTCTCAGTTGTGTAGGTGCTGCTGTAGGAGCTGCAGGGGCACAATACACAACGGGCAGAGGCAATAAATCACATGCAAGAAAAACAGCGCAGTAGTGGCGTACCTGCTGGCAAAGTTTGAACGGTTTCAACAGCAGAGAAAGGCCCTGTTCCAACGGAAGTATGGGCTGCAACTCTAATCTCATAGTGAAAGTGGGGATGAAGTGAATCGCGTGTTGTAGTGAGTTCAGGAGCTGTCCATTGAAATTCAGTTCCAGTCTCGGTCTCTGTTAGTTGAATCTCGTAGTAGATTATCACATCATTTCTGTCAATTTCGGGGGGTGGGGACCATAAGATGGTGATGTTGTAGGAGCTGTTGGGAAATGCCTGGACTGCATGTGGGACAGCTGATGGAGCAGCAATGAGATATAGAAGTTGAGTCTTTAACAATATGCATAATACAATTTGACTGCGTACAAGCGTTTTGGTTTTTTTGGACTCTTTTGTACATATCGGCCTGTGCTGTTGATATGGGGCATTTTTGAGTGCAGATGTAACTCAGGGTATATACTTACTCTCTTTCAAACACTCAAAGTGCCATGGATATTATGTTATGCAAAATGACCAATGCCTTGGGTAGACAGTCACAAATATGTAGCAAAGGATTGGAACTAAAAGCAAGCCAACAACCAACAACACAAACACTTTCATATGGGTGAACATGATTTAACACAGCTCTTTTAGTCACCCATTAACCATTTTGTATAAATCAAAATTACCATTGGTGCACGACTCCCCACTCCATCCATTCTGGCATGTACACGTATTGGGCGATGTGCACGTTCCACCGTTCTCACAACTTGGAGTACAAACAGCTGAAAAGTCGTATATATATTAATCAAGCCATTGAAAATAAATCAACATACGCTGACTGCAAGTTGCTCCAGTCCATCCACTCTGGCAAGAACATACTCTGGGTCTTGTACAGGTCCCACCATTTGCACATCCAGATGGGCAAACGGCTTTAGAGCAAAGGAAAGGAATAAATGAATATTGCCGAGCGCGTTAGCGTGAGGCAACTACTCCGGGTTGTATTCTCGCGATAAGCTTATGCGTACGTACGTACATATGTCCGTGTCGGTCACGCTTAAGAATGTCAATTAGTCAGTCAGTAGAGCGCGCGAACGAGCGGCCTCAGTCTAGTCGGACATTGGCACGAGGCAAAATATGCGCGTGCGCATTCCTAGTACATAATATTCCAAGGGGATTGACATACGGAGAGTGCATATGCTTCCAGTCCATCCACTTTGACATGAGCATGAGTTTGGCGACGAACAGGTCCCTCCATTTCGGCAAGATGGAGAACACACAGCTGCGGAATAATCAGGTGGTCTGAGTATTATGGCATGATAATTATTATACTATACTAACTACTCAACAACTGTGTCTACAACTCTTCTAAACATACCTTCACAGCGGCTCCCAGTATAGTCAGAGCAGCACACGGTGTTATACACTGCAGTTTGTCGATACACAACTCTTGCTCTCGACCTGCATTGGCCAATGAAAGGACACAACATCTTAATGGTCTTTGAGACCCCATCGCTCTTTTTACATTTAGAATCTAACTTTAAACTCTTAGTTAACAGGCCGACATTCTGGAAGCCATGCAGCCTAGCTTCAATTCCATTATGATAAATACTGCATTTCTCTCCTTGACTTTCTCATTTGTTATTGTCTCATCCTTTTGATATTGCTTACACAACTGTACACCAGTGTGAATGCCTTTATTGGCGATCGAAGCTAGCCCATGCATTCGAGCATTATACTGCGATCATAGGCAATTAAATTCTAAGGTGGCCCATCTTTCTGCGTGTAGGTACATAAAAATGAACATAACTGCAATGAAAAGGCAAAAAAGCTAGATAACTGAATGTGGAGACATGAACAAACTACGTTGTTATTTTGATTCCCACTGATTACTTCATTGCAACCGAGATCTTTCGGCTCAATAGGTATAGCTAGCTAACTGGCTGCTGCACACACAACATTCTTGCTTTCAGGTATATATCAATTGCAGTGGCTTACGTGCGTACGTACGTAAAAGGTGAGGGAGTAAAACAGGAGATGGCTAGCGACGGCGGAGGGACTAGCGCGAGCACGGATGCAATACGGTGTAGAAGTGTGCGTTACAGTGCTAGTTACCTTCCGTAATTAGGTAAAGATAAATGGTACCGTACAGCGCCATAATTTCCTTTTGCAATGGCTCTCTCCCCTCGCCAACTATAGGTAGAAATTCCCCCGGGTAGTAAGTTCTAGTACCGCGTGCATTACCACCACGTGTAATATTACGTAACGCTTGCAGTGTGCATTGGAGGTATATACAATACCTCAATGGTACAGCGCACAAATAACAATAATAGCATATAGGGATTTGGTGCAAAACAGTGTTTCATCCTGATGTTTACTTGTCCCTCTTTTATTTTGATGCTGTCACCATTTTTTCAAACCTGTATCTTGTGCGAGTGCAAGCGCACAACCCACATTCCAAATCCACAGCCGTAGTTCTGGGAGTAGGGCTCTGAGTAGTAGCCCACTGATGATTCGGTCTGGTAGCTGACTTGAGTGGTGGTACATGTCCTAGAACAATGTATTTCCAGTATAGTTACTCTACATACTAGCTATCTATGCTATTGCAAACATGCTATAGCCCAAATTCCTATATACACACCTCCACGTTAAGACAAGCTGTTGACACTTTGTGAAGGGAGGATCCCAGGGAAACTCCCCACCTTTCCCAAGTAAATAATATGATATAAAACCATATAATAGCTATAATTATACATAATACGTGACCTGCAGGGACTATTCTTAGCAGATACACACTTCAATCTACGACCAAAAAGTACATTAAATTGGTTAAGTAGCTAAGGGCTTATTCAAAACATTTGAAATACAATGTCTAAGCGAGTTTTGTGCAAAAAACCTAGATATTTTGTGCGCTGGCATTAGATGCTAAACGCATACTATCTATGCCACTATAATACAGGTGAGCCATATCTCTCCAGTCTCTCTGTTTGTTTTTTGCTATTGGCCGACTACGACACCGGCTCCTCGGTCCAATATAGCAGTCCAAATAACAGACGAAAAAGAATAAAACTAGAGTCGCTCCTTGTACGATTATTCCGACACTGAGAGAGCATAGCACATCTCAACTTTCAACGCGCACTGCGTTTGTAAAACAAACGCTCGGCGTTGAGCTAGTAACGTGTGCGATAGGTCCTGTCAGTAAAGATCTTTCTGCCTGTTAGCTGTAAGAGAGCTTTTGCAGCAGCATAAACTGCAAGCGTATTAAACGAGCGTAGTGAACGCCTTTTCGCGCGTAGACTTTATATTTCGCGCGCTGATAAGTGGCAAACCCTCGGCGCCCTGTGACGCGCACGCGTAAGTAAACGCATGGCGCCGTACCACTAATGGTGGGCTGGGTTTAGCTTTAGCTGTTACTCGTGGTCTCTTGCCAGCTCGCGCAGAGTCTGACGCGGGCATGACTACACTACTAGATTAGCATGCGAGAGGCGCATACACGCCCTGCGTTGCATCTTCTGGTGCCTCCGAGGTACGCAGAGCAACGCGGATCGATCATGCCCGTGTAGCCGTTGTGTATTTGCATATTGGCTTTTTTCGCGCTCTAGCTTTGCAACGGAGCGTTTTCAGGAACCGTTAGAAATTTCTGACCTTCATTGCCCGTTCCGTAGGTGGTATCCTTTGTGAGACGAATGAACACTCGAGAAGTGAGATGAAGAGTAACAGACACACAGACAGACCCAACTACTGCAACCCTCGCTGCGCATGCGCGCCGAGGGTTAATGACGAGCGAGCTAATTTTTATTTTTTCTTTGTTGTCTGTCGAATTTTCCTTGCTGTTTACTAATCATTTTTCCTCAGTTTCTTTTGCGTTGTATATTTCACCCGTAAAAAAAGTGGTATATACGAACGGCGCGGAATTTTCCTCATTGGCGAGCGGGAGCGAGCCAACCTAGTCGTTCGTTCGAGCGGAATTTTCGGTATATATATATCGTCGTTGGTACGTCGTGTAAGTGCGCATGCGCGGCTTCTTACGCGCTTCTTTTTATCCGAAATTATTTTCAAATTTTTACACATTTCACACTCACACGCTGCCTCGCAATATGCGCCGGTCGATCTAACCAGCCAGAGAATTATCCCGAGGGTCTTCATTCACGAAAGGAAAGCTGTGCGCTGACGGAAGGTTATGCAGCCCGAACATCGCGGGCAAATCCAAAGACATTACCACTAGTTATTGGCGAGCGGGAGCTAGCCAACCTAGTCGTTCGTTCGAGCGGAATTTTCTGTGTATATATAATTATATATAATTATACGTCGTGTAAGTGCGCATGCGCGTATTTGTACGCGCTTCTTTTTATCCCAAATTATTTCAACTCTCCTCCATTCGACGGAATGCGCTCGAACCTTCGGTGACTGTATATACCTCTTCCCAATCTTCATGGTTCCAAGGTGCAACTTGCATAATACGCTAGGATTGCTCGGGCACATACTGCTGCATGCCAGTTGCCAGGTGGACCACGACTGACGAGCTGAAAGCGTAAGGTGAGTACCGTTCTGCTCACCTGCTCACCGTTCTGGCAATATACAGTACGCATGTAACGGCGACAGGTAGATCTGTCTTGCTTCACGAAAAGAAAGCTGTGCGCTGACGGCACGTTATGCAGCCCGAACATCGCGGTCAAATCCCAAGTTGGGTCGCTCCCGCTCGCCAACAATGTTCAACATTTCCACTAGTAGCTATAGTAGTGTGGATCCATTGGTCGTAGCTAGAAACATATTCCGCCTTCGGACGACTAGGTAGTCTCGATTCGCTCGCCAAGACAGGCGTCTATACGGGAGGGCGTCTTGGAATGCTCATCGCCCTCCTGCACTGCTCATCGTTCTGTATTGGATACCTATGGCTCTCATCTCATTTCTACCTTGCTCACGTGTGTTCTCGCTTGTTTTCCAACTCGCTCAGTCCCCACCACTCGTAGAAGACTTGTTGGTTGGACTCAGTCAGTCAATGAATCAGAGATGTTCTGCAACACTAACACTTTGCCTCAACAAAATAGGAAAAAATACCGGAAGTTGGCCTTTGAAAATATGAAATAATGTCCTGTGGCAATAAAACCTAGCCAAAAATTGTTGTAGCTCGGCAAAAAATATGTTCTAGGGCAAAATAATTGCTCTAGGGCAAGAATGCTAGTTACTAGGGCAAAATAATTGCTCTAGGGCTAGAATGCTAGTTTTTGGGGCAATTATTTTGCCCTAACATTTTGGGGCAAAAAACCTGTTCTAGGACAACAAGGCTAGGCCCTAGGGCAAAACCAATTTTATAGGGCTAAAAAGCTAGGCTGTAGGGCTAAAATCTTGCCATAGGCATCGTCACTAGGGCTAGGACCAGTGCTAGGGACTAGTTCAACGGCTAGAGCTAACACTAGGAGCTAGAGCATCTTTCATCACACCTTCGGACGTAGAATATATATCGGAGGCTTCCCTTCCCCGTCCTGGTGACATTTCGTCCGTAGATTACTCCACAGCTGTCATTTCGCTTCAACTGGTGACAGAGGTTAACTCTTTCAGTCACGAATTCGGCTTCTGCGCCCGATCGGCGTTTTCCAGCAACTCTCCCCAACGCATGCGTGATTCTGCCCAAATCGACACACTCCTTTCATCCCGCGCACGCGCGCTGTGGCGGTCTTTCTTTCTGCCCAACAGCCTCTGTGCCTGCCTTTCATCCTGCTGAGACATTTATGACATGTCTCACGCAATCCGGACCCTTTTTGTTACTGAAAGGGTAGATGAAAGGAACATCAAAGCTCCAACCGACACATCCAAGTGCCGACCGACCACTTCCTAGGATGAGTGGGTGGTTTTTAATGAGATAAGGCCGCCATGCCGCCCGCTTACCGGGTCAGAGTCCATAAATGTGCGAGTTTTCTTGACGTTTCTGGAAGTGTGTAAATTTACAACATTTTGTGACCGAAAGGGCTATATCAGGGCGAAATACCGGCAGCGAGGGCTATATCAACCCTGTTGTTGATGGAGTATATAGCTGGTCTTTTTCTTTGTTTTGTTGTTGTTTTTTTAAGTAGGTCGTATTCTTTGTGAGACGAACAAACACCAGAGAAGTGGGATTGAGAGTAACAGACAGTCTGTGTGTGTGTGTGTGTGTGTGTTACTCTACATCTCACCTCTCGAATGTCTGTTTTCTTGACGTTTCTGGAAGTGTGTAAATTTACATTTTGTGACCGAAAGGGCTATATCAGGGCGAAATACCGGCAGCGAGGGCTATATCAACCCTGTTGTTGATGGAGTAGAGTAAGCCACCGATAATCGGACGGCATGTATTCTCGGACGCATTTGTGAAGTCTGTGCAGGACTAGATTGGCTACTGTGTATACCAAAGTGTAGTTCTTGGTCATAAACTGTTGTATAAAAATATTCGCTCTTATCCGAGCTTTACCGTGGGAATGACGTTGCCGTAAAGTTACGATTCGGGCACAGCCAAGTTCGGACAAGGCCATCAAAGGTAGGACAGTCTCCCAAAACGGGAACAGTATGAATGATCCAAGCGACTGTATGCTCGATTGATAGCTGTACCTTTTGGCTATGCAGCGACCCACAAATGGCCCTTTTTTGTCTTCGCTATTTTTGCTCACGAAAGCGCAAATAGGCGGGGTCGCGTAAGCCGCGTTTTACGCGAAAAGCAGTTTTCGGCATGTTTCTTCTAACACACGCGCCGGATGAAGCTATAAAATTTTCTCCTCGTTCTTTTTGCCTTATATTAGATGCCTGCACCACGATTTCCGTTTTTGTGAGATATAACTTTTTATTGGTAATTACAAAAAATTAATTATTGTAATTACAAAAAATTTAAATCTTACAACAACGGAAATCGTGGTGCAGGCATCTAATATAAGGCAAGAAGAACGAGGAGAAAATTTTATAGCTTCATCCGGCGCGTGTGTTAGAAGAAACAAGCCGAAAACTGCTTTTTTGGTCTGATGTAAGAAAACTAAATAGTTCTTCGTCTTCGTCGCCCCTGTTGTTGATGGAGTATATAGCTGGTGTTTTTCTTTGTTTTTGTTGTTGTTTTTTTAAGTAGGTCGTATTCTTTGTGAGACGAACAAACACCCGAGAAGTGGGATTGAGAGTAACAGACAGACAGACACACAGACAAACGTACTCGATGCGCATGCGCGCTGAAAAGATGAAATGCAAACCCTCGGCGAACTGCGCACGCGCGGTACAACTAATTGATCGGCTGGGCTTTTAGTATGCATTTACTCGTGGTATCCACGCGAGTAGCTCGCGGAGAGTCTGACACGGACTAACTACAGTAGTAAATAGCATGCGGGAGTCGATACACGTCCTTCGTTGTGACTTCTTATGCTTTCAAGATACACAAAGCAAGCGGCCCGGTCTTGTGCTAATTACCCTCGGCGGGCATGCGCAGCGAGGGTACAGTAGTTAACCCTCGGCGCGCATGCACAGCGAGGGTTACTGTAGTTGGGTTTGTCTGTGTGTGTGTGTGTGTGTGTGTTACTCTACATCTCACCTCTCGAATGTCTGTTCGTCCCAAAAACGATACCATCTACCCAACGGGCGACGAAGGTCATAAAATATGTGGGGTTTTCTCTGAAAATGCTCCGTTGCGGAGCTAGAGCGCTTCCAGCATTGTATGGCTAATGCCCATTTTATCGCTGGCGGATAATGTGCATGCGCTTATAGGCTCGCTTGCTCTGTCTATCTTGAAGGCTGTATCGACTCTCGCATGCTATCTACTACTGTAGCTAGCCCGTGTCAGACTCTCTGCGAGCTACTTCGCCGAGGGTTTGCACTTTAGTGCTTTTCATTGGGTCTGTCTGTTTGTCTGTTTGTTTGTCTGTTACTCTACATCTCACTCCTCGATGGTCTGTTCGTCCCAGAGAGAACCGCTCATATTCTGACCTTCACTGCCCGCTGAGTACGTCGCATCGTTTGTGAGACGAACAGACATCCGAGAGGTGAGATGTAGAGTAACAGACACACAGACACACAGACCAAATGAAAAGCACTAAGTGCAAACCCTCGGCGAAGTAGAGTCTGACACGGGCTCTAGCTACAGTAGTAGATAGCACGCGAGAGTCGATACACGCCATTCGTTGTGACTTCTTGTGCCTTCAAGATAGACAGAGCATAGATAATATAGCGGAACTTCCTATACTATCTATGGACAGAGCAAGCGGACCCGGTCGAGGTATGCCTGTGCTAAATATAAGCGCATGTTTTATTAGCCATACAATGCTGCAAGCGCTCTAGCTCTGCAACGGAGCATTTTCAGAGAAAACCGTTCATATTTTCTGACCTTCATTGCCCGTTAAGTAGGTCATATCATTTGTGAGACGAACAAACATTCGAGAAGTGAGATGTAGAGTAACAAACACACACCCACCCAACTACAGTACCCTCGCTGCGCATGCGCGCCGAGGGTAACTATGCTCTCTCTTGTTCAGCTAATGGAACCTCACATACAGAAGCCCCTAAGACTATTGAGTCTTCAGCATCCTCAGTCACTGTACCTAACTTTGCTCCAAACACCATCTACACATGTTGTATACAGGCCATAACAGCTGGACAGTCACACAATGTTTGCACAAGGAACTATTATAATAAATAATAACATAATACATAACACCTTCATGACAGGTTTAATAAACTTCCAGTCGATGTTCATAATATGTAGTGCCATCGACACCTCCTGAGAATGTGACAGTTGTAGCAGTGAGTCCCTTTGCAGTGGAAGTAGAGTGGGACCCGCCAGCCACACCAAATGGGGTCATCATTCACTACAATGTTTATACTTCCAACCGAGTACTAGTTGACACAGTCAACAGCTCACAAAGGAACTATGTCTACAGTGGACTAACGCCATATCAAAGTGTTAGTGTGTGTGTTTCTGCCAGTACAAGTGTCGGAGAAGGCCCAAAGTCACAACCAGTATCTACCAGAACAAGAGAATCAGGTTTGTCTGTGACTACCTAACCAAAGCACCCAATACTCTCTTTCATACAGCTCCCAGTGAAGTTGAGAGTTTTGAGGTGGTGGCAGTGTCTGAAACCTCGTTCAATGTCTCTTGGAACCCCCCTCGCTTGCCCAATGGAGTTCTGACTGGGTACCAGCTGACAGTCATTGACTTGGTATTTGGAAGGGATTCACCGACCACAACCCAACACACTTGAAGTTGCCGTAAACAGTGGTGTTGGTAGGTCTTTATTGTGTTAGCTTGTAGGGTCTTCCTTGTTGTGCTGGTGATACTAAATCCTCCTCAGAGCCCTATGTTCCGTATGAGATATCAGTGCGAGCTGCAAACAGTGCCAGTGTGGGAGAAGCCAGAGAGATTCTCATATTTACCAAAGAAGGAGGTATGCCGTTTTCTAAAGTTATGCTATATCGAAAAACATGCTTTGTTTACATTCAGTTCCTCTGGTTGCACCAACCATACTCGCTCTTCAAAGAACTAACTCAACCTCTGCATTGATAGAGTGGAAACCGCTGAGACCTCAAGATTTGAGGGGAAATCTGACCTCTTATCTCTTGGTGTATTCCAAACAGAGCGACTCCTGTCCCACTGTCCCTGAGAGCTATGAAAACAGCACACCAGTTGAAGCTCTTTCCCCAGCCTATTCTCTCACAGATGTGTTGGATCCTAGACACAAGTACTGTGTTGGTATAGCTGCTGTGACTGGTGCTGGGGCTGGAGTCTTTAGCTACAAGTCTGTGTCTTGTAAGTGGCTCCAGTGTATCAGCATTAACTAAGTATAGTGCATGGTGTAACTGTATTGTGGTTCTCTCAGGGTTTGACTCTGCCAGTTTTTCATTGGTTATTAAGGTGACTTTCTGCTCCCAGTGGATTGTGAGTCTCTGTGTTCTGAGTTCTTATACTGATACATTTGAATTGATAGGAGGAGCTGCCTGTAGACAAAGCAAGAGACCTAACTGTTGAAATAAGTCGTGGAATATCCCAGTACTGTCAATGTGTGTTCCCGAGCAACTACATCACTGATACCATGTTCATATGCGACGATAGCAGAAGCGATGTAGTGAGATTTGATGGCCAAATAATTGGAAGGAATGAGCAGGACAGTGGTAGTCTGAAGGAGAACATGCAGCAATGGGTCTCCAGTGAACCAACTGTGACAGTACAAGTAGTAAATCCTACTAATGAAGAAGAAACTGAGGACTCTATTGGAGTCAGTATTGCAGGAGTAATTCTTCTTGTAGCACTGGTGGTCTTTGCAGCTGTATGTGCCACATACATTGTATGCAAGCGAAGTGGGTGAGTGTGTATTATAGCAGTGTCTGCCCATAATGTACTTATGTTTCCCTCAGTTCAAAGCAAGGGGCAGAAAGAGAAATATCGACTAGTACAAGCATTGACAGTCACACTGTTACAGATCTGAAGAACCCATACTATGGCTATGGAGTCCATGCAAAAGAGAAATACCTAACTGACTCTGGATACTCTATCGTACAAAAGAAACAAATGGTGGTGAAAGAAGTTGAAAACCCCACGTATGGACTGAATGAGATCAAGAAAGGGAAGGATCCGATCTCAAATCCACTGTATGGAGCCAACACACTGCCAGGAGGAGTGCAGTTGCCATCGTCCAGTGGCAGTGGGCTGTACAGCGAGATTCCTATCAGCAGGGAGGAGTGCTTTTATAAAGAAACAAAACACTTGTAGCTTTTTGTGTGCAGTTTTGTGTGTGAGTATTATAATCCTTGAGAATTGTGTAGCTATCATGCAGTCATTGCTGTGTGCTGTAGCAATGAAATTATGTACACAACACACGACTGCCAATGGTTGAACTTGTTTTATATACTGCAATATTGATTGTAGCGTGAATGTCATTTAAATGTTGATTCATAGGTGTGGTTAGATCTACAGTAAATGCTGATGAACAATGCACAGTCAACTAAAATGAACCTTGAGAAGTGCACTATTATATACATTTATTCACACAATGTGCGTGCATACAACAAAATTTCTAACTAATCTTAGTCGACACAATCAGACATCTCTGGGGGTGGGTTGAAAACGGTGTAGCTAGGAGTGTTGCAATGATCCCACACTGATGAAGGATTGGTACACTGAATGTGAGAGTTTGCCAAGAGTGGAGTTTTGTCCAGGACTTCCTTGCAATACTTGCTTCTCGGGATGTGCAGCATTGCCATTACTGTCGCAACAAACACAAACGCCAGCAGATCAATGATAATTGTAAAGTCAACAAAAAATATGTAGGCTTCTTCTTCCATCCAGTATAAATATATCTCTAAAGTAAGATCTGTGACTAACAACGTAAGCACAACTGAAAATTTAAACACTGGCCATTTCAGTTTTTTTTGTGATTCTTGCTTTTCTGAAAAGTTTTAAATACACGTACAGAAGAAAAATGGCAGTACACAAAATGAATAATACAACAAATGACATTATTAAAATTGCAACAAAAATCCCATTAATGAAAAATTGTTTTTTATCGCAACTAGTGTCCGAACAAACGTGATTAGCAGAAAACAACACCACAACAGCAAACACAACAGATGACAAAGATAATAATACATGAATAAAAACTTCTGACACTACTGATAAGTGTGATTTGAGTTTCTGAGTACAGTTTGTTCCATTAAAAACTGGTGATCCTATCTGTGTCAACAACATCCCTAATATAGCTACCATGTACAAGAAAATGATCAGCTTTGTGTACAAATTGCATTACCTCACAGTAACCAAAGGGAAGAAACCCATTATAAAACATTACTGCGCCTAAATTAATCGAAGAGATGGTTAGATAAACCGAAAACACAATGGTTGCTCGCTTTATTCCAGTATTCCAGGCATTCGTCTTTTTTATCGCCAGTAAACATACCAAAAGAGATAAGCTGAGAGTGGCAGTAACAATATCAGATACTCCTGTAGCCAGCGAGAGAGCATCACATTGCTCTTTAGTCAGGTTGAGACATCGGTAACCTGTGTTGTTACACATAGCAGCTATATAGCTATACCGCGAGCGCCGTGCTACAATAACCAGAAGAGGTCGGACACGGTCACGTGAATACAATTAGCGCGTTGACGACCTTCGACGACTTGCTCGACCTATTGTACAAAACAGAGAAACCACACGGAAAGTTGTAAAAAGGATCAAAGTAAGGTACTGTGCATTTAGCTTGGCTCTAGGGCTCACGCTGTGAGTGTGACAGAGTTATTAGTATTCTTCACTATAATTATTATCTTGGCGAGCGGTAGGGGATCTCTGGGGATAATAGAATTTTCAGTATCTTTCTTACATATTACATCGAGTCAGTTGCAAATCCTCTCCGAATGCCGCTTGGTTTTGCTACAGCACGCTCCCCATACATTCTTTATGGGAAAGAAATTGCTGTGTCAGCATAAAATTAATGTGTAATTCACAATCCTGCGCCATGCCCAACCTCCTCTGACAATAACAACTTAACTGTGTCGATCCGGGTGTCGTTACACGCCCCCGTGCCACACCTACTATCTTTGTTTCTCACGCGCTGCGTGTAGCCTGACAACTCTGCAGGCTCGGAGATTGCCTACCACCAATGACCAGAGCAGCGATAAACATAGAACTATTCGGACACATAATGGCACTTACTTAGCCCAACCTTCCCGGAATTATCGTCCGAGGGATCGTCCCGGAAATTAGCATTGGCAGTCGTCCCGCAATTGAGATCGTGACACATTAGATTGATGGGCTTATTCGTCTTATTACATACAAGTGGAAAAATCATTTCTTCAAAATGAAGGGGGATTATATAGGGATGGCTCAAAACATTAACCCATAGCAAG